TATGGTGTTAAAGTCATAATGCAAACAAATAAAACTACGTACAATTACTTTAAAGTGCATTGTGTAACTTTTCTGGTGGAGGGTGTGTCTCCATGACGCTTTTCTTCATGGAGATGTTAGTTAGTGCTTTGTCTGGAATGTTTCACAGTATGGCATTAAACCTTTCTATCTTCATGGAGACCAAACCAGACCAGGTTACAGGTCAGATCTGTGGAGAGGCGAACCCACTCACAGTCAGAATTTGTTTTTCAAGGAACTTTTGAGCTATAAAACCACCTGTTACTTAATAAATGTAAGGAAGAGCTGTTTAAGGTCATACTGTGGAACATTCGAGGCAGGGCAATGACATATCCATAGAAACAAGCCGGTGAAAGACCTTCAATCAGAAAAGTTACACAGTGCACCTTTAAGAATGATACACAATTATTTAATTTCATGAAGAAGCTGTTGCATCTCTCAATATGACACGGAGCAAATAAACAAATACATTATTATAAATTACGTCAAATAAATCTGATTTTATTGTTGCGAAATGTCTTAAATAAATAAAATAATCATAATAATGTAATAATTTGAACATCTTTTGCTTGAATTGCGTAATATCTTGCCCCGTGCTCGTACTTACAATTATATTTCATATTTATAGGCCTATTGATGATTATAACTGTGAATACAACCCATTGTTTATCTACTATCTGCTGACTTTGATTTATTTTGACCTTCTAAACGTAACAGGCACCACTTATAGCCCCCACAATCTCTCCTTTGAGAATATAAAAATTTGAATTGCCACACATTACACAATTTAACAATAGCCCCTTGATTGAGACCCCAACAGGCAGCGCTCATAGCAACCACTGTTTTCCATTATGTTTGCTTCAGTCCTGCTGTCTGCTGATAAAAATACTACACAGAAACAGATTATGTCACGCGGTACACAATGCATTTGGAGGAGGGATAAAAATATAAGCGAGAAGGTGTTTCCCCAAAAAAGATCTGAACCGAGATGGACCCGAGAATGGCATTCATGAGATCTGGACTCATTATAGGATCAAAATACGAAAACAGGGAGGAGACTAGCGAGGAATGTGCATCTGGGAAAATGTAAAGCAGGAGCTGGAAGAGGTTCGGTAACACTTCAGGTATGTTTGAGATGAGGAAACAACAGAACATGGGGTTTGTTTTGTGTTTTGTTTCATTCACACATGTTTAAACACCTCAAACCTGCATGCTAAGGCTGAATTCTTCTCTCAAACAGAAAACTCTCTGTTCTACCTTGGGTTGTCACGTGGTAATACAGGAAGTGCTCCACTGTGTTTTTAAACTCATACATTGATTATTTCAGACCTGGAATTGCCAATCTCTACTAAACAAAATATAAAAGGTATCTGCTAACTTGAATACTACCACTTCATGACATAAAAAAGTGGAAAAGAGCATTTTAAGCTTTGGAGATTAATAGGGATGTAACAATAACCGAAATATCGCGATATCGTATCATCACAGTTCTCACAATAATATCATGGACCATCACAATATATGGAATTACAAGTCTCTTTGCTTAAATTAAGAGTTATGGTGCAGCAATAGCTAAAAAAAGACAGACGGAACTACATAGACCATGATCCTTTGCTCCATTTCAGTGTAGACTACATGAAGAAATAAGAGTTCTAAGCACTTTTAAGTCTTACCTTTGAATTAAGTCTTGTCAAGGTATTTTAAGAGGAAAAAATAAGTAACAGTTTTGTTATCGTCCACAAAATATTACAATAAATATTGCACAGTGAGATTGGGATATTGTTACATCCATATTGGAGCCTCCCCATCATATCGTGAGCTTTCCCAAGATATCACAATAAATATTGTATCTTGAGGTTCATACTGTGACGATATCGTATCTTGAAACTTGGAAATCATTACGCCACTACTGTGCAGATTAATAATAAAGGATCACTCAAACATGTATGAATGAAACAAAACACAACTCGGGGTATGTTTTTGATGAGGTAAAAACATTATAACATGGCTTAAAGCTCACAAGAGTCCCCTCATCAAAAACATATCAAGAGTTGTAATGTTGATTCATTCTCATGTGTTTCATGAATCCATTACTTCAAAGTTGTCTTCTCTGAGCACTTGAAAAAATACTAATTTCACATACTCACTTTATGCCCGTTTTGTTGCATCACAGATAAAACTCAGGACTTCTCATATAGTTTTTAAAGAAGTTGTAATCTATGACACCTCATTACATCATTATGTTGTAATTTGGGCATTTCTGAGTGTTGCAGTATTCAACAACATAATATAAAAAAAAAAGTCCACTCTCTGCGGTGCCTAATGGGAGCTACAGCACTACAAACATCATCCCAACAAAGAGCAGTGTGTAGCTGTTGGTCCCTCTGATGGATAGCTGCACATCACACTACCAAGCCATGGGTTGTTTTTTCATTCGTACCAAAATGAGTGTGCAATGCTGTAAATTCCTATGCGTATCACAGATTAAGAAAATAAAACTGAATGATGTGGGATTGACAAGCCAGTGCCTGTACAAAGGGCTGTAGTCGACTAAAGAAATTCTTGGTTTTTAATCACTTACTCAACGCTGGGAAAAACTCTCAAAATTAGAATCTTGTGCAAAAATTTGTAACAAGTAAAAAGAAATATAAGTAAAAACACCTACAAGTGGAACGGCAAATTAAACTGTGCAGTAACTCCTAAAACTCTCTCCACAAGAGATTCTGAATCTCAGTGGGACTTGCTGGTTAGATGAAGATTAAAAAAATAAATATCTTCTCTCTTGTAGTGTGCATCAAAATCCTTAAAATTCTTTAAAAAAAAAATGAGTTGATCACTTAGTACATTTAATTACAATCATTTCATGAAGCGCAGTTAACTCGTATTCAAAAACTACCCCAGCACACTAAACCTGGAGTCATCATTTTCACTATGACTGCTTAATAATAATAATAATAATAATAATAATAATAATAATAATAATAATAATAATAATAATAATAATCAGTGTTGGGAGTAATGTATTATAAAAGTAATGTATTACAGTAATGCGTTGATTTTTGCTTTAACGCAGTAATGTAAGGCATTACATGGGGAAAAATTGTAATATTTTACTCGGTACAAATGTGAGTAACGCGCGTTACAATGCTTTTTTAACCTGGATTGAAGTGGTGGGTTTTTCTTCATAGAAATTCGCTAAAATCACCGTGAAATCAGCAGCGGTGAAACGCCGGAGACGCGGCCGGATAGACCTTCAGTTAACCGCGGGTGAAAGGATCAACCCAGAACTCTACGCTGTTTAGACCTGGTTTAGACCTGGGTCACTTCTGGTTTAGACCTGGTTTAGACCTGGGTCACTTCTGGTTTAGACCTGGGTCACTTCTGGTTTAGACCTGGTTTACAGTCGTCCCTCGCTCTAACGCGATTCACTTTTCGCGGTCTCGCTGTTTCGCTGATTTTTAGAATTTTTTTTTTTTTTTGCAATTTTGCATGCCTTTTGTTTTTAGTGTATGAACACGTATTGCGTTCCTCCCGCTGTGTCCTGATCGGCTGAGGGACTCCTGTCTCCTGAACAGTACAGTACAGAATGTGTTCAGCTGCCAAATTTAAATACATGTTCAATCTGTATCAGTGTGATTCTGAAGTGCTGTATGTCTGCAAGTTTTCTCTCCGACAAAATCCACAACGTCGACGAAATGTTCTGCACCGACAAAGTCTCCTGCGCTCACACCCAAAAGACAGAGGACGATGCAAACCATCGCACAGAAAGTTGGACTTCTGGACACGTTGAAAGGAAGGTAGAAGTTACGCGCTGTAGCAGAGTTTTGCACCGGGTCTTGTACCCGCAAATAGTTGCTGAAATCAGGGCCGCGAGCCCCCGCAGTAGGGTCCATAAAGCGCGATCGGGCGACAGCAGCTTTTACCTCCATGAGGTGCGGAGCAGAGCCGCTCCTTTCTCCTGCGGTCAACTTCGAGCCCGTCCTGACAGTGAGTCCTGTTTTAGTCCTAGTTCAGTTCTGGTTTAGTCCTCCTCTTCAGTCCTGGAATCAGTCTGAGGTTAGTCCTGTTATAGTCCTGGTTTAGTCCTGGTTCAGCTCTGGTTTAGTCCCCTGGTTTAGTCCTGGTTCAGTCCATATACGGCTCAAAAGTTCAGCTTTTTCGCAGTTATTTTGGTGAGAGTAACTTAAAGTAATGCAATAGTAATGTAATGCCTTACATTTTAAATGCAGTAATATTGTAATGTAACGAATTACTTTGAAATGACAGTAATAAGTAATAAATAACGCATTACAGTTTTAAAGTAACTTGCCCAACAGTGATAATAATAATACACCTTTAGTCACAGAGCACTTTCAAACACAAGTTTTACGAAAAACTGTACACTCAATAATACAAAACACATAAAAATTGCGGAAGTATATAAAAAGAGACAATGAAGCAGACAAAGATCAGTTACCAGGATAAATAAAGTAGGATCAAACTATTCAATTAATAATAACAGATTATTAATATGTTCTTCTATTCTATTTATTAGTCTGTTTTATACCACTTTCATACAACTGTTGCTTTACACCTTGATTCATTTCAGAACATCAGTAAAAAATATTATTACACAGTCAATAAGAAATAATGTTCAGTAAAATTCATGCATTAAAATTAGTGAGGAGAAATGGGGTCCACGTTCAGGGAAGCCACTTCTGTGAGACTTGATCTATTACATAAACTACAGTCTGACCTCTGCACGTGTACAGTAAGCGCGTGTTTGCGGGAGATTTAGCGGAATGCGATCTACAGTATAGAGAGGTATACAAATCTCAACATAAATGGATTTCTTAGGATTCGGACGGAACTACTGAAGCAAGGAATGCCCTGAAATTCTTATTTAGTTTAGAGATAACAAACTTTCACCCTGGACCTGCACGTGCGTAAAGTGCGTAAAGCTTTTGGATCAAATGTTTTATATTTTAAAAAGTTTCACTCACCGAGATCGTCGTCTTTTTCGTCCATAGCTGAGCCAAGGTGCACTTTTGAGTGAAAATGTAAAACTGTGTGCGGAATCTTCAGTCAATTAATCTTGTAGAAGCACTACGCAAAGGAAAAATTCCGGTTTGCACCTTCAAAATAAAAGGGATATGCGAGTTAATGACCTGTTTAAACTAACTAAAACTAACTTAATAATACCATGGATCTATTGTTAAAATAAATCCGCGAACTTCCTTGTGTTACAATAATAAACATTAAGTTTAAAGCTAAAATTTTCTCCATAACCATGATGTTTTGGTCGAACAAGCACTGTAATGGCCAGCTACATTTGCAATTTGAGAACATAAAATCGGCCTAACTAAATATTTTGATGGCTTTATTCCATACCGATAAGTTTGATTTATTTTCTTATTTATTTATTTATTTTTTAATACTTGTTTATTTATTCAAGTTTTCAAGTTTGTGTAGTAAAGACAAAACAAAAGCAAAATCAAAGCTTGGGACACTGTTCAGATACAACGGGGATATAAAAGGGTAGATCGTGACTCCAGACTCCTTTTTAACTTTTAATTATCCTAAACTCGACGCAAGGAAATTCTCTCCAATTTTACGCATGGATGTATTAAAATCACGACGCATCCTGTGGTGACTCTTTATAACTTGACGTATCGCTCCGTTTTGCCGACGCCCACTCGGGTCTCTGGTGTTTACAACAGGCACACCCTCCCCACAGTGGGATCACGGGCAGTTTGGTTTTCATTAGTTGCACATTCTTCTCAAATTACATGTCCATAATACGCAAACACTTACAGACGACTGTGCCACTTCACTGTACTGAAAATAAGACTGCTGAAATTCTTTAAATTCCAGGATAACACGAATCACATTGCAGCCGGCGCGTGGATTCAAAATATTTTACGGCTTAAATGGTTTTGAGCTTTAGTTCACGCACCATACCAGCAGGTGGCACTCTTTACGCACACAATAAAGCCGCATAGACTGGACTTTACGCGCACAATTGCTCTTGCATTTGTATTCGATTCTGTCTGATTTTAATGTGTTGGACTGCACGCATGTTTGCAAAGTTTTATTTAAGTCTTTGCTATGTTAAAAAAAAAAAGTTTGAACTATGAACTATGAACGAAAAATGTAGACTTATTATCTTAGGTTAAATCCCGAAGTTGCTCAAAGAACCTGTTCTCCCGCCAGTCTCAGATAAGTCTCAAATACTCTGACTGGGGCTGGTGACAGCACTGTTGCACACACAGAGAGAGACGGGTACGTGTGGTCTCAGACTTATGTACACAGACAGGAAGCGCGCGTTCCTTCTCTACATATTTTCTCGCTGTCTGTTTTTACGCAGTTATCAGCCTACGGTTCGACCCACAGCAGGACTGGTAGGAGAGTAAAACATAACTTGTTGCGTACTTTGTGCAGGCCTGAGAGATGGCTTCGAGAGGACTGGGTCTCTCTGAAGGACTGGTCCATGATATAAACCAAGAGGAGCTGGACTTTTCAGACCTGTTTCTGTACCCATCAGAGGATTTTTCTGTTGGTCATGACAGTGGTAAGGCCAATTTTAGTAGCTTATTATCATTTTATCTTTCCTTTATCTTTTCTGGTAGAGGGTCCACTAACTACTTGTCTCCATGGAGATGTTATTGCTTTGCCTGAAATGTTCCGTGGTATGACATTAACCAGATTCATCTAGCATTTATTGATTACAGGTGTTTTTATTGCTCAAAAATACAATAATTCCTGTTGTGAATAGGCGCGACTCTCCACAGATCTGAACTGTAATGTAGCGTAGTGCTTATCTGCTTATCTCCCTCGTGATAGAGGTAGGGTTAGGGTGGGTTTAGTCTGTATTGCGGAACATTCTAGACAAAGCAATACTGTTTCCATGGAGACACTAAAACACAGTGCACCTTTAAGTCTAAATCTAACAACTGTAGCTACTGGAGAGATTATATTTTGAGCTACATTTTCATGATCAAAATAATACCAGTAAGGTAAATACAGCGCAAAAGCCTCCATAACTACTAAATCAATCAAAATAGGACAACTCATTAATTCTAAAATTATGAGGAATCTTTTTGTATTTATTTGTTCATTTATTTTGACAGTAAAATAGAGTTGATTTTGAGATTGAATATGACACTTTAATTAGACAGGCCTAGTTCAGCAGCTCTTTTTAGAAAATGCATGAAATTTTACCTGCGAAAATGGCTGTTTCACAAATGTACACGACCAGTCAAACGTTTGGACTCACCCTCTCATTCAGTGTTTTTTGTTTGTTTGTTTTATTTATTTTTTATGTTGTTCTATATTTGCTATACCTACAAAAGACATCAAAATTATGAAGTAAGATGTATTCAATAAAAAGGTTAAGTTTTTAGAGATATATTTTATTACCCAATCCTCAAATTAGCCACCTTTTGCTTTGTGGAAAAATATTTACTACAGTTGTTTCACTTTTTTTCTTTACCAAATAATTCTATATATCTTGCTTAATATATCTGATGTCCTCTGTACATATCTAAAATGCAGAAGGTAGTAAGAAAAAAGAAACAAAACACTGAATTAGGGGGTGAGTCCAAGCTTGTGACTGACTTGGGACTTTATATATTAACACAAATCATGATGACCTTTCTCACTACACTAAAATAAGATAAGTAGGTGTATAAAAAGGTCAAAGGTTGCCCACTACCTACAACTACCTTTCTTATATTTGATTATTTGCTAAGGGATGAAGCACTGTGTAACTTTTTCTACTTCTTTCCATGGAGACGTGGTGTTCCACAGTGGAGATCGATCAATATGCTTTTTTCATTGCCGATAACCATTGTTTAGAATCCAGAACAACAGAGCCAATAAGCTATGACAATATGTTTGGTATAGGGCCAATTTGGTTTATTTTTGTTGATTTAAATGTATTATAAACTCACCCAGAGCCCCCTTTTTTTTACCATAAACCCATAAGAAAGCTGTATAGTCATGTTTTGAGCATCTATCTCTTCCCATTAAACTTAAAGGTGCATTCTGTAACTTTTCGCAACTCGACAAATGCTTTTCTCCATGGAGATGTTATTGCTTTGTCTGGAATGTTTCACAGTATGGCATTAAACCTTTCTATCTTCATGGAGACCAAACCAGATCAAGTTACAGGTCAGATCTGTGGAGAGGCGACCGCGCTCACAGTCAAAATGTCTGTTTTTCTTGGCCTTTATGGGCTATAAAACCACCTGTAATTGAGTAAATGTAAAGTAGAGCTGTTTAATGTCATACTGTGGAACATTCCAGGCAGAGCAATGACATATCCATAGAAACAAGCAGGTGATGGACCCCCAACAAATAAAGTTGTGTGAGTGTTTTTTAGGTAGCAGTCAACCAAAACAATATATCAATTTAAGGCCAGAAGACAATACAATAAAAAGCCCAAATATTGGCCAAAAGATATAATGGTCTGTCTCTATTCCACAGTATAGCATTAAAAGTATCAATCTCGTATTTATTAAATTACTTTTTGGGTATTTTATCGCCAAATAATACATTAAGAAACATGCATTCTGTACTGTGAGTGTGAGCCACCTTTTCACAGACCGGACCTGTAACTTGGATACACGTTTAATGTCATACCATGGGACATTAAAGGCGAAGCAATAAACATCATCACCTTTAAGAATATTTAGGTTTTAGTTATTCAATTGCCATGTACAAAACTAATTTCTCTCTGCTTAGAATTATATTTTTTTTTAACTTTTTTTTTTTCTTCAGTTTTCACCTTCAACTTTAATACAACACACAAAACACTGAGCAGCCTGAGCATTACACAAACATCACCTGGTTAATAAGTAGTACACACTAACTTGGTCAAACAGGTAAAGCTACAACCTGTGTCACTGAGATTATCAGGCAGGTAAGCAAAGTAAGCAGAGGTCACCACAAATCCATAAAAGCAGGGGTGTAGGGGGCGTGGTACGTGGGGTAACGCCGTCCACCCACTTCTCCCGACATGAGATATAATAAAAAAAATAACAAATATAAAATAGCTACAACTTAAATGTCAAACTAGAGCTATTGGCAATGGTGAAAACAACCTGCATATAACTCTCATGATATCTGCAGTACTGTCCTATAGTGACCTGAGACATGAGGGTAAAACCAGGACTAGGACAGGACAAAAGGACTGAACCAGGACTGAACCAGGACTAAAACAGGACTAAACCAGGACTAAACCAGGACTAAAACAGGACTAAAGCAGGTCTAAAAAACAGGACTAAAACAGGACTAAAACAGGACTAAAACAGGACTGAACTAAGAATAAAACAGGACTAAAACAGGTCTAAACAAGAACTAAACCAGGACTGAACCAGGACTAAAACAGGTCTAAACAAGAACTAAACCAGGACTAAACCAGGTCTAAAACAGGACTAAAACAGGACTAAAGCAGGACTAAACCAGGATTGAACCAGGACTAAATCAGGACTGAACCATGCCTGAACCAGGACTAAACCAGGACTGAACTATGACTAAAACAGGACTAAACCAGGACTGAACTAGGACTAAAACAGGACTAAACCAGGACTAAACCAGGACTGAGTGTCGGGACGGGCCTTGAGGTTCCTCTCTCTCTCTCTTTCTCTCTCCATGTCCAAAATTAGTCTTGGTTTAGTCTGGATTTAGACCTGGTTTAGACCTGGTGTAGTACTGGTTCAGTCCTGATTTAGTCCTGGTTTAGTCCTGTTTGTCATGAATCACATACCCCCACTTAAAAAATCCCCACTACACCACTGTCTAAAAACATCATCATTGCCTTTTAATTTTGCTCAAAACTCAATAGGTGACAGTTGTGGCTTCTTGTTTATCCAGTTCCATAACACACATTTTCATGCCAACAATTTACCTGCTTATAATTTTCTTGATTTGATTGACAGATGACCCTCACGGCCTTCTCCCAAACCACTCCCACGCCCCTCTGTTGACCGTGGACTGTACCAACGCGTATCACCTCTCCTCTTCACCCCAACTGGAACTGAGTCAGGACCCCACGACCGACCAACACGCCCAGTTCACCTCGCCCATGGGTCTCTCCTCTCGTCCCTCCACCATCCCGGCCCCCAGTCCCAGGATCGAGATCACGCCGTCGGGAGACTCCCTCAACTCCCAACCGCACCCCCAGAAACCCCAGAACCCGAACTCGACTGCTCTGGGTGCGTACAGGGATTGTGCCAGCCCCGCCAGCAGTAATTCTTCATCAGGATGGCCCACGGATAACTGCTCCCCTCTGGCCTCGCCGTGCCCCTCCCCGTCCAATGGTGGAGGTACGTCAACATTCATTTATAAGTTTGATCGATTGATTGACTTGTATTTATTTGGAGTTTGTGCCAAGAGCGAAACAATAATCATATACACACTACACATTAGGGATGTAACGATATCAAAATCCTTCGATACATTATTTTCACTATATGCATCTCACGGTTTGATATTTATTGTATTTTTTGGAGACTTACACAATTGTGAATATGCTACTTTTCCTTTTAAAAGCCTTGAAAAAGCCTTTGGTACTGTTATAATATGAAGAATTATGATTTAAAAGTGCTTTCTAACAGATATTTTGTCACGTAGTCTGCACTGACAACACCAAAAGACCATGGTCAATGTAGTTCCCTCTATTTTTTTAGTTATTACCTTTTAGCTCCATTACCTTGCCTTTCCATGGAGTTAAATAAATCCTGATACCCATTGCCCATTGGTGTCCTTGCATCTCTAGACAAAATTATGCTGAATAAATCCCACAAAAGAAACTTGTATTGGATTAAGTTTATCACATACAGTATACAGTGAATAGGCTAGTTGGTTTAAAGCTGAGTGTTTACATGCATACACTGGAAGTTTAATTATTGGATCTCTGGAGCTATTAACAGAGGTGGGGACTTGCAAGATATGACTTGGACTCAAGTCAGACTTCAGTCACTATTTTTAGGATTTGAGACTTAACTTGATAAAATGGACTAAGACTTGGGACTCGACTTGGACTTGAAGGTCACTGACTTGGGATTTAACTCGGACTTGAGGCCTGTGACTTGAGAAGACTTGGAAAGTTCTTTTAAGTCTGAATTCTTTCTATTCTGACCGTAATGGTTCATACTAAAGAAAGATTTGCATTTCTACTACTTTTATATATTCTCTAAATTCACATATATAAATGTACTATGACTTTAAGTTCAATTTATCTTAAAATTTATATAAATTGCAAAAATGTAAGAATTGAAATTACTTGAAGCTCAAAGCAGATGACTTGGACATGACTTGGACTTATGGGCCAGTGACTCGAGACTCGACTTGGATTTGCCTGTATTTGACTTGGGACTTGACGGACTTGAGGTCAAAGACTTGAGACTCGGCCAGTGACGACTTGGTCCCATCTCTGGTTATTAAATGATTGAAAAGTCAGTTGAACAATTCAATCTGATTTGAGTATCAGATTTTTTTACTTTCATTTCCTTTTGGTCACAGCTGTGCCAGTTTTGAGAAGTAAAAGATGCAAAAAAGGACAAACTAAATTTGGCAAAGACAAAAGTGAGAGAAAAAATCTCAAGTTATTTTAAGCAGTATATTCAAAATATCCTACTGACTCATATCACCACTGCACTGATCTAATTATTGGGTTATCTGAAAAGATAAAAATTCTATATTACACAAAATTGACTTTTGAGTTTTAAGTCATGTTAGAATGTTGTTATCTCCTCATAAATAGCCCTGTTCCACTTTGTGATGTCATTGAGTGGTAGTTTTCAAGTTAACAGCTCCCTTTACCTTTTGTTTAGTAAAAATTGGCAATTCCAGGGTTGAAATTATCCAAATAATTCTAGAGAAGGTGTATGGAGTTTAAAAACACAGTGAAGCACTTTCTATATTACCACATGACATCACAAGGTGGATCAGTGTTTTCTATATGAGAGAAGAACTCTAAATGCCTAAATGTGCAGAGTTTATGCGTTAAATATGTGTGAACGAACCAAAACGCAACTCCAAGTCTGTTTGTGATGAGAAAACAACTAAATAACACAGGTGCAGGTGCATTGTGTAACTTTTCTGGCGGAGGGTCCATCAAATGCTTTTCTAGAGGAGATGGTTTTGCTCTGTCTGAATTGCTGCACAGTATAGTATTAAACCTTTCTATCTTCAGACTAAAGTAGTCCAAGTTACAGACAGATCTGTGGAGAGGCAACATCACTCACAGTCAGAATGCCCGCTCTTCTAGGTATTTTTGATCTATGAAACCACCTATAATTGAATAAATGTAAGGTAGAGCTGTTTAATGTCACACTGTGGAACATTCCAGGCAGAGCAATGACATATCCATAGAAATAAGCAGGTAACAGACACCCAACCAAAAGATTACATAATGCACCTTTTAACATAGTACCCAATCAGTATACAAGCTGAATTACTGTTACAGGTTATGGAATATTGGCTTTGGACCTCTGCCCTGGATTTCAGTCTATCCACACCTCATCCAACCACTCCACTCCAGGCGGGTCCCCCCACCACAGCATCCCAGACGAGAGCTTACTTTTTCCCCACCACCAGCCCAACGTGCCCCAGCAACAGCCCCGCCCACACCACCGCTCCCGGTCCCTATCCCCAAAGCGCTCCTACCACCACCTCAACTCCTGCCCCGGGCCCACTCCCATCAAACAGCGCTCCAGAAGCCCCAGCCCGGTCCCTTCTCCCAACGAGGGGACCTATTACCTCAACCAGTACCAGAGCCCCACCCCCGTACTGAAGGAGATGTTGAGTAATACTGGTAGCTCTGTAGTGATGCCTTCCATGGTGGTTCATCATACCCCACACAGGCCCATGCAGAGGCCCGACTGCGTGTACGGGGAGGGGTACGAGTGGAGCGGGGTGGACGTGGACAGAACAGTTAGACCGGAGGTGAGTTCATTTGTATATTCAAATAAGTTATAATCCTGATGAAACTGTACCACAAATCTTGTTGGCAATACACTTAAACTTTATTGATTCACAATAGAAATGATTTGGACACAGCTCACCCATCACAGGATAGTATAATAGTATATAGTTTTCTTCTTCCCATTCCTTTTTGGGCCAATTTTTGTTGTTGTTGTTGTTGTTGTTATTTCTGCTATGATTTCACTAATGTTATATGTTCTATTGTAAAAGAATGTAAATGTCTTACTTGCCCAAAATAAATACATAAATCAATCAATAAAATCAATAATATAATGTAATAACAAAGAGCAAAAATATAAATGATAATAATACATTCAAAATAAGTGACAAAAATAGCAAGAGACTGGTGTCAAATATTGTATAATTATACAATAGTATGTGTGTACAAGTAAAAATAAAAATAATGTTGTTTATGCTTCATTACATAACAATAACATATTCTTAATAGTATTCACATTTTCAATTAAATTATTATTGAAAAATTTGCAATATACAAATAACATAGTACTGTTGTAAAGGAACTGCCAGTAGGGATGGGAAAATAAATAATATTGTTTATCGTGATAAAGAGGGTAGACAATAATCGTTCGTGAGATATTTTATATAATCGTGATAATTGCAAACAAAGATAATTGCCATTTTATCACAAGAATGTGCAGAAAGAAACTACTTATCCTTGATGTTTTCTTCTAGATCATTGCTGTTTTCTGTTTCTGCTGTTTAAATATGGAGCTTATTCATAATATTAAAAGTATAATTATCATATGCATAACATTTTTAATCAGGAACTGTGATATAACTGTTAATCGCAGTTATTTTAACCATGATAACTGTGACACCAAATTGTAATATTGTACCATGCCTAGTTACCAGAGTGTTAACCTACAGATAGAGGACACATACAAGTTTTTCTCATTTGTATTACATGGAAAGTTTATACTACAGATCAGATTCAGGTCAGAGAGAGTCCTGGATTTCAGCTTTGAAACTGGCAACCCAAATAAAATACTCATGTGGGACTCATTCTGTTTTCTGATTGGATGGTTTTTGATCTTGAGAACCAAAACACCAAATTATAACATAATCTTGGCCAACATTTCCAACTATAACAGCATTACAATTGTTATCAGTAAAAGCTATATTTGATTAGAACATGTCTGTCTCTTATCTGGGAACACAAATAAACAATTAGGTCCTGTCTGTAAAAATCTTACATACAGTTCCTTTAAATATGTCTGTGTTTTACTTGTACAATTGTATATTATGGATTTAATTGAGTTAATGTTACCAACAAAATGACTGTAATTGACAGAAAATTCTCAATAGGAGGGCAGGGACAAATTAAATATACAGCTTAGATTTTTTTAATGAAATGTCCAATACATCTACTTCATAAACTAATTCGTAATAGTATTTCTTGTCTGACCGCAAAGTAAATTTTAAACTAAGGACTTGATTGATTACAGTAATAGAGTCAAGACACCATTGTATTGCAGCATGTTAATCTACCTTAACAGTACTTTCTATCTCTATATTAATGTTTTATCTGTCTAAATGCTAACTATTACACCTGGGATTTTTATAACCTTTTGATTTAAATATTGTAATGAGTTGAAAATGTGTTTCTGTTTTGTAGGGGAAGTCTGAAACCTTCTACATGGTACCAACAGTGTGGCCAGCGCCTCATCCTACTCACCACGGAGCTTTTAGGTTCGTGACTTCACAAACTCTTATTGATATGCGGTGATACATGTGTCTCTACTGGCAGAATGTTCAGCGGATACCGTGGTGACGCAATGCCCACATTAGCAAACACAGTCAAAAAAGTAAAAAAAAAAAAAAAAAAGCTCAAACAAAATGGATTTAAACAATGCATTTTTAGGAGCCTGTGATCAATACAAGTGTTCATGGTCCTGTTTAGGAGTTTGATTTTCAACTAGAAATGTGAAAGTGACTGAAAAGTAATTGAAAAGGTGTAATATTATTTGAGAGGGGTTTGTTTAACTGTACAAATCAGCTCACCTGAAGCTTTTTCTGGTCAGACTGTGTTAAAACAAAGCTCAGATTAAGCTTTCAGGGAAAATCTCTATACTGTGATTCTACTTCCTTATCATTATTACTTATCCTGTTCTTCTCTCTTGTGCTCCAGCGTGTCCATGGCCCCCCTGCCCTCCCTGGAGTGGCAGTTGCCCTCTGAGCTGGGGCAGTACAAGCTTCAGATCCAGCAGCACCCCAGGTCGTACCACCGGGCCCACTACGAGACCGAGGGGAGCAGAGGAGCGGTGAAGACGGCCAGCGGGGGACACCCAGAAGTACAGGTCAGGACACAAAAGGCAAAATGTGGCTCAAAGATAGATATTTTGTGCTTGTGTCTCTTTAAACCATGTTATAATGTTGTTACCTCAGTTATATCATACCTGGAGTTGTGTTTTGTTTCATTCACATGTTTGAATAATCCTTTATTATTAGTTTTGTCTACATTTCCAAACCTCAAAATGCTCTGTTCCAGTAGTTTTCAGGTTAACAGCTTTTTTACCTTTTGTATGGTACAGACTGCCGATTACAAGGTTGAAAGCATCCAAATGATTCTCATGAAGGTGTATGAAGTTGAAAAACGCAGTGCACTTCCTGTATTACCACATGGTATCACAGGGTGGAACAGTTTGAGAAAATAACTCAAGGCAGGGTTTATGTTTAAAACGTGCAAATGAAATAAACACTTTTGAACACAATTGATTTAATGAGGAAAAAACATTATAATATAGATCAGAAAATAGCGTAATATGGGCCATTTAAATTGCAAAACCTTTTAGCAATCATAAAGTCGTATTGTTAAAGAAAAGTAATTTTAATTTTGTTCAGTGCAAACCACAATGCTGATATGAAACACCTTAAAAATAGACACAATGTTCAAAACCACCAAACTGTTTCTCTTCTGCTAACCCTTTCTTTTATAGTGCAATTTAAATTTAGAAAGCAGAGGATTTCCTTGTACACGTTTTTATATATTGAATAATAGTTACACAACATTTTAGAAGCATACAGGTCTTAATTTTTTACATAACTGCCAAATGCATCAATATAAATACATCTTTGAGTGAGCCTAAGAGGGAGAAACATTATAACAAGGTTAAAAGGTGATAAAATTATAGTTTACAATATGTTTACTTTAATGTTTTTTTTTGTTTGTTGTGTTATTCTTGCACTATGACTAAATCCCATAGTCTGTATAAAGAAGTGGATAGTGTTCAGCTCCAGTCAAATGAATCTCACCGAGGCTAGCAGTTAATTTAGTGCCAAGTTCTGTTTTAGGAATAGGAATTTATTTACGGACAAAATAGCTAAATAAAAACCCCAGCATCATGTAGAGCGGGGTAATACGAACATTTTAAGACCAAAGTGATGAGGCTCATATCAGCAGTTAGAGTGAGAGAGGGGTAATCCGTCTGTCATTCGTTCATTTGTTTTTCAATATAAAACCAAAAATGAGAAAATGAAAAAACAACTGTTTTCTTCATTATTTGTCTCCAAAACCAAAATGAAAAAACGGATAACGATTCGCTAAACCAGGTCCAGAACCAGTCCGGAACCAGACCAGGACCAGACCAGGACTGAGTCCAGGACCAGACCCGGCCCAGGACTAAGACCATTTCTAAGAACAGGACTGAGACCAGGACTGAGAATGGGATCAGACCAGGACTGAGACCAGGACTGAGACCAGGACTGAGACCGGAACCAGACTTGATACTGAGACCGGGACCAGACCAGGACTGAAAACGGTTTAGTCCTGTTTTAGTCCTGGTTCAGTCCGTATGCGGCACAAAAGTCTGGTATCACAGTTTAAGTCATGGAAACAGGAAACGACCGTTATCTGTTTTTTCCATTTTTCATTCAAACTAAATCGAAAACTGAAAAAACGAATCGTTATCTGTTATTTTCATGTTGGTTTTCGAGAATAGTTGTTGTTTCATTTTCATATTTTCAAATTAATGAACAAATGATTCTTCAGATTAGTGGTGACAAATTTTCAATGTAAAATCAATTGAAGCCAGTTAGCTTTGTCCATTTATTTATACAGTCTATGCAAAATCCCAAATGTACCTGACAGCTGACCTGAATAGTATTTACAATCTTTTCCTCACCAGCTCTTTGGGTACCACGGCGCCTCTCAGCTCAGCCTACAGGTCTTCATTGGTACTGCAGACGAGAGACTGCTGAAGCCCCACTCCTTTTACCAGGTCCACAAAGTCACAGGGAAGACAGTTACTACCCCGAGCCTGGAGAGGGTGATCAACGGCACCAAAGTCCTAGAACTCTCCCTGGACCCCAAGAATAACATGAGAGCTGTGTAAGTAGACATGTTTTACAGTCAGTACAATAGACTCTATTCACGCTTATATCACAAACCAGGAAGGCGTTTGGAAACATGCTATGACAACTTCCGACGGGTTCTGTTCGCGGTAGTAAGTCTGACAAAATCAAGGAAAAATTAGCTCAGTATTCTTTATCTCCATGTCATTGTAGCGTTCCATTATGTTCGTCTAATCAACAATTATAACCATACCCCATAATTTTCATAATTTCCTCTCTGGCGATGCGATTAGAAGAGATGAGGGCACCAAATTCAAGATTATTCCAAACATCTCATACATATGCAGTCCTCATTTTACCGCCGATCACATTTACTTCGATGGGTTTAATCACAGTCGGTCGGCAAGCCCAGTGTTGGTAAATACACCGAAAGTTGTCATTGCATGTTTCTAAACGTTTTCCTGGTTTGTGACATAAGCGTGAAAAGAGCCTATACAACACTTTCTCTTGCCAAAATTAGAGCTCAGACTAGAGTCACTGCTCCTTTGGTGAAGGAAGGGTGTGTGAAAAGGAATTTCTGGGGATCTCCTCTTACTGATACTGATGGGTGTTTGGATGAATGTTTCCAGCATGTACACTACCGGTCAAAAGTTTTAGAACACCCTAATTTTTCCAGTTATTTATTGCAATCCAAGTCGTGCAAGTCCAATGAAGAGCTTGAAATGGTACAAAGGTAAGAACTGAATAGACAAAGGTTAAAAAAAAAGATAAAAGATGCAAAAACCAAGTCCAAGCTCTGCCAAAACTACCTCAGGACAAAAGAACAAGATAGTAAAGCTTGAAAACATGGAGTGTCCAGCGCAGTCTCCAGACTTAAACCCCAATGAGCTGGTTTTGAATGAATTGGACAGAAGAGTGAAAGCCAAAAAACCTACAAGTGCCACACATTTATGGGAACCTCTGCAATAGACTTGGGAAGAACTTTCTGAAGAATATTTGATTTCTGTTGTAAAAAGAACAAGCCACGAGTGTGTTCAGCTGTTATATCTGCCAGAGGTGGACACTTTCATGAATCAAAAGTTTAGAATACGTTTTGGTCAACAGTAAAGTAAAAAAAAAAAAAGTGATTTAAAAAAAAAAGTGTGATGTTCTAAAACTTTTGACCGGTAGTGTATTTCATGTGCACCTGTATTCTACACAAATACACACAAATTTCTGTACTAACAGTCTGAAGATACTAACTACTTTTCCTACTATACTGCATACTTCTAACACTACTACACCTTCTGCTATGTGAGTACAAGCAGTACTTCATACTGCTTCAGGTAGCATTGGTAACTTAATTTTCTTAAATGCAAAAAACAGGCTCACCTCAATTTAAATAATGAAACTTCACTTTGTCTTTCTTTAGTTTTCTTTTACATTTGTACGTTGCTGATGCATGTTTCTAGGATTGACTGTGTGGGGATTCTGAAGCTGAGAAACGCCGACATTGAGCTACGAAATGGGGAGACGGACATCGGGCGCAAAAATACACGAGTGCGTCTGGTGTTCCGAGTGCACATCCCTGAACCTGGTGGACAAGTGGTGTCACTGCAAGTCTGCTCCCAGCCCATCGAGTGCTGTAAGGGACCTTTTTTTTAATAACTTTTTTGACGAATAATAGACTAAAATTAAAGCATGTTTAGTTTTTGCTTTGTTTTTATGGAACTCTTGTTGCTTTTGGTCATAATCTTCCACAAAACAAGTCTATCTCCATGGAGAATGATCCAAAGTATGGTTTTAACTTTCTGTTTCCATGGACATACAGTACACATATACATACTGTACCTTTTAGGGATGGTACTAGATCTCATGCCACAAGACCTCGTGAGACAAAATTTCCACAAGCTTGCACACATGAGGAAAATGATCTCATGAGATTTTTTCCCCAAGTGTTTACATTTAGATGGGACAAAAAAGGGTTACGTGTTGGTGAGTTACATCCCTTACAGTTCGAAAAAGGAGTACTAAAGTGGAAACAAAAATATGAACATTTTAAACATTTTAAAGCCAAAATTGGAAACTGGCTCGTGAATTTTTTTATATTAGGAATTATGCTAAAATCTAATTTTGTCTCGTTCTCATGGACCCAATCTCGTATTTTGTCTCGTCTTGTGGAAATTGTGTGTCATCTCATCCCTAGGACCTTTAACCTTTTTACCTAACTACTCTTTAAAATATCAAAATAAAATAAAATAAAAAATAAAATAAAATATAAAAAAATATTTAAGTAATAGAGCAACATCATTAGTTAAGTTCTCAAGGCAATTGGTTTCTTGGATTTTTAAGATCAACTTAGAGATGGGAGATACGTTTCACAATTGACAATAGCCAGGGTTCCCACATCATTGAAATCCTGGAAAAGTCATTTGAAATTGAAAATGACATTTTCCAGGCCTGGAAAAGTCATGTAATTTTGTAAATTCAATGAAAGTTTTGGAAAAGTCATAGAATTTTATTAGCTCTTTCACGCAACTACAGCGTTCTGTTAAGTTATCATTAGGCTTTTAGAATGATTTCCGAATGTATGTGCTTTTTGTTTAAAAGAGATGACAACAAATACACTGACAGTATTTTGAATGTTAAAAAACTATAAAACCAAACCTTAAGGTGAGTGGAAAGGGTTAACATTTCATATTTATCCCTTAAAGTATGATCAATTCTACAAATGTTGGCGCCATAAAGTCATGAAAAATTCACTTTAGGTCATGAAAAAGTCATGGAAAAGTTTTTGAAATTTTGTCAGTGAAAAAGAGTGGTGTTTTGATGGTTAAGCTTGCCATTTTGTCCAGCCACACTTCAGTATTTAAAGGTCCTATATTACACCTAATTGACTCTTTTAAACTTTAAGCCAAGTTAAAATGTTGTTACCTCCTCAAAAACATACCTGGAGTTGTGTTTGTTTCATTCACACGTTATATATTATAGTCCCTTTTTATTAGTCTGTCTATATCTCAAAAGCTCAAAATTGCTCAAAATTACATAAGTTGTAACTGAGTGTTTTCTGTTTGAGAGCAGAACTCGGCCTTAATATGCAGGATTTGTGTGTTAAACATGTGTGAATGAAACAAAACTCAACTCCAGGTATGTTTGTGATGAGGAAGCAACATTGTAAGATAGATCAGAAGGTAATGTAATATTGTCCCTTTAACTATAGTTGTAGTTCATACTTTCACCAGCTCTCGTTATTATTTGTGTACTTTTACCCACAAAACACGGCTCCTTCTTCCCAGTTAACATGTGTTTTTGTCTGCAGCCCAAAGAGCCCAGGAGATGCCCACCGTGGAGAGACACAGCCTGGACAGATGTTCGGTTCTTGGGGGACAACAGATGGTTCTGACTGGACTCAACTTCACCTCTGACTCCAGGGTCGTCTTCACAGAGAAAGCACAAGGTGAGACGTTTCAGACAGCTGGTCCTCAGACTGCGTTACTGAAAGTGACGTGGTAGTCCCAACATAAATAAATGATATAAAGTCATGAATAGCACTAACCTGTTATAGTTTTAGATAAATATTAAAGGAGGAGATTAGGCATGAAGTAAATATAGATGATAAACCATAATAAAACTAATACAGTTATTTTATTTTATTAATTATACCACCAAAAACTATTCTAAATGTACAATATTGTTAAAAATATAATAATAAATAACCCAAAAAGTATATAGTTTCCTCTTTCATATATTGACGATATGTGTAGTAATCATATCATAAGTAAGTATAAGTATAAGTATATATATCATAAGTATAATCATAAGTATCATAGGCTTAGTATAAATGATATTGCTTTACCGGGAATGCTCCACAGTATGGCATTAACCATTAAACATGGATTGTTAGTGCTAAAATAATTCCTTCCAAAACACGCATTCCTACTGTGAAGGAGCTCCCCTCTCCGCAGATCAGACCTGTGACTCGGCTTGATGGTGTCACCTTTACGTCTCCGTGGTGACTGATGAGGTTAATGCCATACTGTGGAACATTAAAGGCAAAGCAATAATAACCCAGTGGAGACGAGCAAATGGTGGACAAAAATATACAAATAAAAATTCTATCGCTACACTCGAAATTTTATCAGACCTCAAAATTTACGTTAATACTTTTACTTAAGTAGATTTTTCATGTGATACTTTTGCTTTTACTTAAGTAACAAAACTGAGTACTTCTTCCAACATTCTCTGTAGGTAGCACTGGTATTGATACTTCATTTTCTTTCTTCTTCTTTCTTTTTTCTTTCTTTCTTTTTTCTTTCTTTCTTTATTTACTTACTTAAAGCATCCATACATTTTAAACATTTGTAAATGCTAAATTATGGGTCCAAAAAGTAAAAGTAATAACTTAATTTCCTTGAATACAACAGTAAAATTCTGACTTGGTCCTTGCTAAATACAAAACTATCTACCCACACAGTATATCTATAGGTTTCACTGATAACTATTTAGTTATTTTCTCAAGCTTCAGTGCACAAACTCCCCCTCAGACAGTACAGATATTGTCAGGTTATTTGCATAGGAGCCATCACGCTCACTTTCAATGACGCAGATATGAGAGTCTAAACAGCAGTGATCCAGTACACAGGTGGGCAGAGGAGCTAAAAATATTACTAAAAAGTGCCGTTACTGCAAAATAATAGAAAGTAAATAAATAGAAATAAATAAAAGTAAAGAAATAAAAGTAAAAGTATTATTTTCAGTCCTTTGGTACATTTAATTAAAGATGCACTGTGTAACTGAGATGTTTTTGCTTGATCTGGAAAGTGCCACAATATGGTATTAGTCTTGTTTATTTCCATAAAAACAATTATGAGACGCCACCAAGCTAAGTTACAGGCCAGATCTATGGAGAGGCGACCCCACTCACACTAAGAATATATGTATTTGAAGGTATTTTTGAGCAGTAAAAACAAATATAATTGAATAAATGCAAGATGATTACGTTTAATGCCTACTGTGGAATATTTTAGACAAAGCAATAAGCAACCTTTAAGTAGATTTTTTCAAGTAATACTTTTACTTGACTAACTATTTACCTCTGCAGTTGTACTTTTAACAGCTACAGAGTACTTGATCACCATCGGCAGCCTGTAGCGTGTAATATTACCAGGCCACATGCTGTGAGAGGAGGATAGGGACGGTGTCTGAGCTCGCTCCGAGGTTAGATGTAACAGGATGTGGTGAAGACAGATAAAGTTTGAGAGTTGAAGTTTTTGTCGAGTGGGTTGTAACGTTGAAAAGTTAAAGAGAAAAGGAGTGAAACACAGATCTGGGCTGAGAGCTTTTCCACTTGTCATAACTCAGGGGTTTACGCTGGTTCAGTTAGTTGTTTTTTTGTTGTTATTGTTGTTCTTTTGAGTTTGACCCAGCTTCAAAATCTCCAAAACATAAACACTAACAACTGTTGAATATGAGTGAGCTGAAAATCACATACAGATTAGGTTTATGTTGATAATTTTGTGTAAATTATGTTAATTTCTTTTGCATTTTCAACAATTATTTCATGATTAGTTGACTGAAATGATTTTCTTTGCTCTACTTGAATGTAAATATTAACTAAAAGATAAAAGATGAAGATGAATAAAAAAAAAAAATAAAGGTTTCTAGATAAAGAATATTTAATAGCTATGTTTAATTTAAGTGTAGTAGGTGCACTTAGTAGGTGTAACTTTTCTGGTGGCGGGTCAGTCACCTTCTTGTCTCCATAGAGATGTTATTATTTATGGCATTAAATGTATCCATCTTGCATTTACTCAGTAATGTGGGTTTTATTGATCTAAAAACCTGAGTGAGTGAGTGGGCTCGCCTCTCCACAGATCTGACATGAAAATAGGCCCTGTGGTGTCAACTGCTGTCTCCATAGAGATAAATAAGTGTAATGCCATACTGTAGAACATTCTATGCAGTATCTCCATGGAGACAAGCAGGTGACGGACCTGTTACCAGAAAAGTTACACAGTTTCACCTTTAAAATCTGTGGCAGGGCTTTATTAAAAACTCAGGCAAGATCGAATTTCCGAGTGCAGGTGGATTTTTTGTGCCAGTGTCCAAAGTGCAAAAAAAAACAACAAAACAATAATATATTTACAAAATATTTACAGTGAGCAAAAATATCTCTCTTTACAGCAAAAGAAAATGGGTCACAAATCACTAAATGTAAATGACATTTTGATTTAATAATGCCGCTATCTTTGGTATAAAATGTCTTTTGGCCCACGTTTTATGTGTTTGTCCAGATAACAATACTGTTTAATAAAATAGTCAAAGATTATTTTAATTAGGTTTTTCATGATTATTAGAATAATTGTTGCTGCCATATTACAATGTATCTTTTTTTTAAATTATCTTTGGTATTTTTTGTTACCATGTTAATCCCATTCTACTACCATATATATGTATTTAATTTTTTTCAGATGGAGAGCAGATCTGGGAGGCTGATGCAACAGTCGACAGGGACAAGACACAAGTTGTGAGTTAAGTTCAGTCTCAGTCAATAAATATGAAACATGCAATAAATACTTTGCTTTTACAATTAAAAATCCTTTGAATTTTCCAGAACATGCTGTTTGTAGAAGTCCCTCCGTATCGAGATGTGAGGATTTGTCGTCCTGTTAAAGTTAATTTCTACGTGATTAATGGGAAAAAGAACATGAGCCAGCTTCAGCACTTCACCTACACTCCTCTCATAGGTACAGTCTGTTACTTATCCTATAATATATTCACTGATTATTGATTATTAGGTCACTTTATTATTTTATTTTATTGTGTCTATTTATTTTTTATTTTTTTGTATTATAGTTTTATTGTTTCTATTTATTTATTTCTATTTATTTATTATTTTGTTGTACTATTTTTATTATTATTTGTTTGGTATATGGCATCATCACTATGGTGACAAGCAGATGATACCAACTTGGATAGTTTACATGTCAGATCCGTTTTTCAAGGAATTTTTGAGTAATAAAACATATGTAATTGAATAATATATATTTATATAATTTAATATATTGAATACATCTTTAGGTAGAATATTTTGCCTTATAGATTGAATTGAAATGGCTTATATTTGCTTCTGAAATTGTCACAGTTTTGTTTAATTTTTACTTTTATATTGTGACTGTGACCTGCACAATCTACAGTATATTAACTAACCGATTTATTTTGACATTATTTTTTACAAACACGTTAAAACTTTTACTTATTTTGATCTGAGTGGGATATTTTAAATCACTGAATCGTTACAACACATTTTTCACTAAACGTTATCACTCATTTAGTCCCGTCAGTACACCCACAGATATTTATCAGGCTCGTTTCATTTCTGTTTCTCACAAAATGAAAATCTCCCAAGCAAAACTGAGAACATGCGGGTGACGGTGGATGTGATGTTCAGGGTTTGCCCACTGACCAGAGGGTAGACGCTTGAAGTCTTATTTTTAATGAGGCCATATTATTCCATTTTCTGGATACACTACTGGTCAGAAGTTTTAGAACACCACACTTTTTCCAATTTTTTTTACTGTTTATTGTTGATCAAAATGTATTCTAAACTTTTGATTCATGAAAGTGTCCACCTTTGGCAGATATAACAGCTGAACACACTCGTGGCTCGTTCTTTTTACAGTAGAAATCAAATATTCTTCAGAAAGTTCTTCTCAAGTCTGTTGCAGATGTTTCCATAAATGTGTGGCACTTGTAGGTTTCTTGACTTTCACTCTTCTGTCCAGTTCATCCCAAAACCAGCTCGATGGGGTTTAAGTCTGGAGACTGTGCTGGACACTCCATGTTTTCAAGTTTACCATCTTGTTCTTTTTTCCTGAGGTAGTGATGGCAGAGCTTGAACTTGTGTTTTGTATCTTTTATCTTTTTTTTAACCTCTGTCTGTTCAGTTCTTACCTTTGTATTATTTCAAGCTCTTCATTGGACTTGCACGATTTGAATTGCAAAAAAATAACTAGAAAAAGTAAGGTGTTCTAAAACTTTTGACCGGTAGTGTATGTTATAATGTTGTTTCCTCCTCAAAAATAAACCAGAGTTGTGTTTTGTTTCATTCACACGTTTAACTCACAAATCCTGCATATTTACGCTGAGTTATTCTCAAACTGAAAACTCTGTTCCACCTTGTGATGTCATGTGGTAATACAGAAAGTGCTCCATTGTGTTTTTAAACTCCATACACCTTCACTAAAATAATTTGGATACTTTCAGTCCTGGAATTGCCAATTTCTGCTGAACAAAAGGTAACAATTAGCTGTTGCTGTAACTTGAAAACTACCACTACAAGATGGAACAGAGCATTTTGAGCTTTGGAGATGTAGACAGACTAATAAAGGATTACTCAAACAGGTGTGAATGAAAGAAAACGCAACTCCAGGTATGTTTTTGAGGAAGTAACAGCACTGTAACATGACTTAAAACTCACAAGTCAATTTTGCGTAGTATAGCACCTTTAATACAAACCCTTCATATTTAGGCTGAGCTTTTTTCTCAAACAGAAAGCACTCTGTTCCGCTTTGTGATGTTGGTAATGTGGTAATGCAGAAAGTGCTCCACTGTGTTTTTAAACTCCATACATCTTCACTAGAATAATTTGGATAATTTAAGAGCCTGTTTACACGAGAACGCTTGCAGGTAAAAACAACTAAATATTTTTATTGGAAACGCCTTTTGTTTAGACGGTGACAGCGTTTTTGGGGCTTAAAAATGCAAAAATCTGAAACCACCCTCCAGAGTCTACACTGTCCCAGATGCAAAACTCTGCTCAGATCTGCTCACGTTGCATAAGCGTTTACGTCACATACATCACCACCTAGCGTCACCACCACCTCCTGGCATGCATACCCAATCGAATTCCACACACTTTTGCATCACCGTATGCACGCAGATTTCCTCCTAAAAACACTCATCTCAATACAGAATAAAAAGTGACGACGCAAGCCACTTTTGTGTCTTCTGTTCAGACTGTCATCATATAAACATAGCCTAGGCCCTGGAATTTCCCATATTTACTTAACAAAGTAAGAGTTATCTTTTAACTTGGAAACTATCACTTCACATCACAAGGTAGACAATCAAGACAAAGCCTCTATAATATGAATCTTTCTAATGTGTTTTACTTAATTCAAACTCTCTTCTCTCCAGCCATTAAAGCTGAGCCAGTTGACGACTACCAGGTGAACTACAGCTACCAAGAAAACCTCGCGATGTCTGGCCTCTCCATGAAGTCACTCTACCATCACACAGACCAGGACAGCACCCTCCAAGCTCTGGGGGTCTCACCTACTCTGTACAGCCATCTTTCTACTGTAGACCCCAGAATACACGGACTACTAACTGAACCACTCGACACTTCTTATCACCAGTACCTGTCCAATCCTCTGCTGTACCACAAGCAACGCTATAACAACAATTCCCCCTCAACCGCTCAACAAAAAACAGTATTTAGCAATCAGTGTCAAGTCAACCAACATGGAGGTGCAATAGAGAGCTCTCAAGATACCAAAAGTTCATACCAGACATTGTTGGGGAAGTCACCACCTTCGAGATCGACCCAGGTTTGTCGACCGAAGCCAAGCAGCGAATTGACCAATCAAGGAAACTCGGGAAGAGGTGACCAGGAAGAGTCGGAGAGGGCGGCCATCAAACAAGAACAGATCAGCTACGCCTACCTGGAGGATGGTGAGTGATGACGACATAAAAAGACAAAAAGTATACTCTAAAACTGGGGTCTCCAACCTGTAACTCAGGAGCTACCAGTAGCTCTCCACCACCTTTACAAGTAGCTCGCCAAGGGATTTTTTGAATTATATGTCTTGTGCCGAATTTTTTTCTACTTTGTGCTCTAATAAACGGATAATGCTTTTAGGTTTTAATCTAATTGTACAACATCTAAGGCTTGCACTCTTATATCGACTCTTGTGACAGTTAAAATGAGTAGATCTCTCGCATTTTCATTTTGTAAAGGTAGCGCACCGAACACAAAAGGTTGGAGATCCCTGCTCTAAAAACAATATGAGTTAAAAAGGTTTCAGAAGTATTAGTAATTAGAGATGGGTATCATTGAGAAGTTGCCAATATGATACATAGGCCTCGATACGATATGTTTTTCGATACAGTGAGTTTTCAATTCAGTAAGATATATTTAAAATAGATTTGATACGATTCAATATAAATAAAGGCTAAATGATGTTTGTGATACTAAAAGTCAAATCACTTCTTGTGCAAAGTTCATATGAAACATGCCCATTTTAATCATAAAAATAGTGAATATGTCAGATGTGTCGCATAAAAGAGTTTCCTTCCTCTAAGCAAGCAACAAAACTGTAGCGCTGTAACAAAAATAATTTAGTAAAATATATCCAGAAAGAGAGAGATATAGATATATAGAAACAGTTGCCCATGATATCAATAATATATCATCACATTAAATTATACAATATATCGATATTTTGATATTTTTGCACACCCCAATTAGTAATTACCATAGACTATATTTATAAATGGACAGTGGAACATGGGGCTCTTCTGGCTCCATCAACTCTATTTCCAATTGACTTTATATTTGAAAATGTAAAAAATTGTCACCCCTCTCTCTGTAACTGCTGCAGTGAGCCTTGTCATTTTGGTCTTTAAAATTTTCCTATTAAACCGCTCTACATGATCCTGGTGTTTTAATTTCACTATTTTGTCTGTAAATAAAGCCCCGTCCCTAATATAGAACTGGATCCATATTCAATTGACTGGAGCTAAACGCTATGGGTGATGTCACACTCCCTTACTCCACTTGTTTAAACAGTCTATGGAAATTACTGACAGATAGAAATGTATTAAGTACTTTTCTAAGTACAAGTTACTTTTTAGATTCATGACACGTCCAGTAGTCCATAAAAAAGATATATTAGTTATATTGACTTGGTGGAAACTATGTCATAATCAATCGTAGTACTGGCTGCCATCACAGTTAATCAGAATAACTTTATTTGTCCATACAAGTGTTGTCCCGATATTAAAATTTCAAACTCAATTTCAACACAGACAAATAGACTTGAGATTCAGTACTGATTCCAATATCACAGTGAATGCTCTTTATTTAGACAATGTAATTATTTTCAACATTAAATAATAGTACTTTGTTTTATATTACCATGTGGTCTTATATCTGTGTAATCTCTCAGTGGTCCAGGCAGTTTCCATGTGCTCTTATATTTGTTCTGACACAGCTCAAGATCATTCTAAAGCTGTTCAGGAGAGGTTCATTTCTGTCCTGTGAATGTGACTTTTATAGTATCGATACCTACCCAAAAGAGTATCTAGTATCAATAAGTATCTGATTTTCAATACTTCTCACAACCCTACACTAAGGTTGTATATTTTAGAGTCATCGTTTTATTTTTTCCAAACTAAAGACATTTTCAGAGCATGGTTTAGTTACTGACAGTACATGATGAGGTGTGAATACATGTGGGCACACAGTACAGAGTTTGTCATTCTTTGGTTTTACTTTTAGACATTAGTGGTTAAAGACAGGGGACTGTGCACCCTTGCACTTTCTCGGCAACTTCCTGTCTGAAAATCATTCGTTTGTACAGAATCTTTTGTTGATCTTTGCGTCGTTTCCTGATTACACACATTACCCACATGAATAAATATCCATGCTGTAGATTATGATATTAGATGGTGATAAAACACAAACAGAATTACATCGATATAAACTTGTTGTTTTTTACTAGAGTAACATTTTAAGCCAAACAGGAAGCACATTGTGTAGGCAAATGAGGCAATGCTGGTCTTTGTTCTGGTTACAAAAATAGACACAAATAGACAACAGATGTTTCAAATGACAGCTTTTAATATTAAGCTTGAAATTTGAGATTCAGATTCATCATATTTATTTTGTCAGTGTTCTTATAATTCATATATTGGCTAAAATATTTGATTTTAGGGCAGATTTACTCATACCACTTTAATAATTGGAATTTTTGCAATAAATACAGTGAGTGCTCAATTTTTATTCTTAAATTTCTTGATCTCTAATATAGTTACAAACCTCTTTTTTTGCTTTTTGCAAACCAGAATTGTGTTCATTTATAAAAGACAGACCTCTAGTGGATATAAATGTGAAATGCAATTACAATTAACAATGGAAAAATTTACTCTTTTGAGCTTGCAGCTGTGTTACAATGTTGTTTCCTCATCAAACACACATCCGGAGTTCTGTTTCATTTACCTTTATTAATAGTCTGTCTACATCTCTAAAGCTCATAAAGCTCTGTTCCACCTTGTGATGTCATGCAGTGGTAGTTTTCAAGTTTTGACTTTTGAGATTGGCAGTTCTACACCTGAAATTAATTATTCTTGTGAAGGTGTATGGAGTTTCAAAACACAGTGGAGCACTTCTTGTATTACCACATGACATCACAAGGTGGAACAGAGTGTTTTCTGTTTGAGAGAAGAAGAACTCAGCCTAAATATGCAGGGTTTGAGTGTTAAACGTGTGAATGAAACAAGACTCTTGGTATGTTTGTGAGGAGAACACAACATTATGAGTCCTATAAGCTAAATTAAATTCTATTCTAATGTTTTCACTACCATAACATGTATAAATATTTTGTTTTTGTTTTTTTCAGTGAATGACATCATAAGAAGAGACCTGACAGACCCCAACTTGGAATAATTACAAAATTCAACTTCCTTTTTATGTATAAAACATATTCTGTATCAGTATTTCAATGGTTCTTTTTACAGTCATGTCAATATCTCTTTTATCATTTCATATTTTGTAAACTAAAATAAATATTTTTCAGTATATTTTAGTGGAGTTTGTTTTCTGTCCACTCTACATGATCCTGTTGTTTGTTTGTTTTTTTCACTATTTTGCCTGTAAATAAATTCCTTTTCCTAAGATGGAACTGTCTCTAGATTTCCCTCATAACCGCAAGCCTCGATGAGCTTCATTTGACTGGATCTGCAGGTGTAGGACGCTATAGGTGACGTCACACTCCGTTTAAACAGTCTATGATAATTACTGACAACTAGAAATGTAATAAGTACATTTCTAAGTACAAGCTACTTTTTAGATTCATGACACGTGAACATAAATTAATCCATAAAAATATATATCTTAGTTTTATTGGCTTGGTGGAAAGAGCGTTTACCTCATAAAAAGAATCTGTGTTTGGGCACTATGTTGTAATCAAGCATAGGATTAGCTGCAATCACAGTTAATAAAATAACTTCATTTGTCTATACTAGTGTTGTCACGATACTATAATTTCAAACTCAGTGTCAATACCGATTCCAATATCACAATAATAATAAAATAATAAAAAAAATAATAATAAAAATGCTCTTTATTTATGTTTATATTTATGTTATTTTCAACATTAAATAATAGTACTTTGTTTTATATTACCATGTGGTTTTATACCTGTGTAATCTCAGTGGTTCAGGTAGGTTTCATTGTTCAGATTATTTTAGTGCAGTTTGTTTTCTGTCCACGTGGAGGCGCCATTTCCTTTCCGGTGTAGTTCACTGCGCATGTCACTTCCGGGACAACATTTTCCTTTGTAGCAGACTGACAAATCCGCTGCATCTTTTTACTATAAATTCTTCATATTTTTGACTAGATTTTTATAATTTTTATTAAAAAGACAAAGTGCGAAGTTTTTCTGCCATTTGTAAGTATGCATTTATCTTCGAATGCATATTTTGTTTATGTATTTGTGTAACATTGCAGCTCACTGTATCAGCAGCTGTGGTTTTTGTGTAATCATTAGATCTGTGATAAATTATTATATAAATCTATTTTTATCAACTTATAAATCGTATCTGCTAAGAAATTTGGAAATTAACATAGTAAAATATTAAAGATAACACGCAAACCAATAGTGACATTATCTAGTAAGGAGTCCGATCGAAGTAAAGGGTTTCATTAAACTTACTTTACTGATTTCTTTATTCGTAAATTAATTCTGTCATGTCTAGCAATGTATGTTTTCCATTTGGATTAAAATGTGTTAAAACTACTCAGCTATAGAAAGATCTCACCTAAACTTTTATTGCATCTTGGATAGTTGATGTGGCTGGCAAAAACAGAAGAACAGATGATTTTTCAGTGCTTAATTAATCAGAATGCAAAATTGCCTATCTAATTTTATGTTATGACAAAATTATGTATACTGTTATACTCATTAAGGTTATTGAAAACGTAGTATTGTGTGGCCAATAAAGTTAATCCCATTTTTACCCCTTATATTGAATGTTCACTGTGTTCTATTCTAATTAAAAATTAAATTAAAATGACTTTCAGTAATATTAATTTCCAGACTTTTAATCATTTTATTTAACAAAAAATAGTCAAATGTCTTCCTGCAACATCTGAACTCTGCTCATAATCACATGCTTTTACTAGATTAGTGTGATCACCTTAATTTATACATAGATTACAATTTAAAATCATATTTTCTTTTTTTTCCCTCCCTCTCTCTCATGCGTTCTTACTTCCAAACACACAGCCCACCCCCAGAGCAGCAGCAGGATGTCAGATCTGGACCTGTCCCCCCCGGAGGTCCCAGAGCCCACCTTTCTGGAGAGTGTGCTGAAGTACGGCCTGTTCCTGGGGGCCATCTTCCAGCTCATCTGCATCCTCGCCATCATCATCCCCTCGTCTAAAGGCCACGAGCAGGTCGGTCTGGGGAGACAATGAGTGAATGAGAATTCAGTATTAAATTATGCAATAGAGAGGTCACACTGACACACCAGATTTTCATGGGCTTTGTCCGCATGTTTAATTGTAAGCCCTGTGACAGCAGGTCTTTAAATGCATTATTTTTTGCAGAACAGTCTTATACAGCAAGATGGATTCTCATGATATTTGTGAGTTAACAAACTCACGAGAATCCATCTTGGCACCTGCTGGTGTGACAGGTGGAGGGTGACCAATCATTTAAACAAACAGATGAACTCAGACTATTTTAGTGTCAATATGGACCATTTTGTTTGTGAAAAATGTGCAGAAGGTCAGCCTTTTGTGTATTTCTGGACAGGGAAGATGTCGGTGCTTTTCTCTCACCTGGATATAACTAAAGTTAGATTTTTTGGCTGTTCCGCTTTGACCAATTGGATTAAAATATTCGTCATAATGCTGTGTGTTTTCTGACCGCCTTCAGCGAGAGCCATCCCAGACTGATAAAGAGTAGAACTCACACACATTTCAGTCTGTTTGCGCAGTATGCACTGGTCACTGCTGGGGTCGACAGAAGAATAGCTTATTTGTGACTGGTTAACACTTACCTTAGTCTCACTTTGTAGTAATTTCAACATGACAACTATAAAAATAATCATGTCAATTACTGTAGATGTATCTTTAAATCCATCCTGTATTTAAATCCAGCTGTATTCTGGGCTACAAGTATCGAGAGTTTGTGTTTTTTCTATTATGAATGATTTGTGGGGAGTTCTCGGTCTGCATCTGTGATACAAAGAAAGAGAGTTGGAGACATTAATTTAGTGGTAAGTGCAGGCTGTGCGACTGAAGAGCCATTAAGAGGTTACTGTCACAGTGTCTATAATAACAGCTGTCAGGAGACTCCTATTATAGACACCAGCCTGTTAATCTACTGTGTAATTATTCTATTTTCACTCATTTCTCCTCACTCATGTCTGTGATTTATTCTTGCATATATTAGCTGTCCCTTAACCTGAAAAGATCCAAGTAATAATGTATCATTCAATGAATATGAGCCAATTATTGTTTAAAGGGGCTTTATGCATCACCTTCCTTGTCTACATGTAGTTATGTAAGTTATTATTGCTCAACATCTCCATGGTACCAGTCTGACTTATCATTTTATTTAAATATAAGAGCTATATTGTCATTTTTGTAACTCTTATCTGACATATGAAAATGAAACTTTGACTTGGCACTATTTGGCACCAGAGCATTTATTGATATTATTTACCATAATCCAATAAGAACACTTTTATTAGTCCCATAAGAGGAAAACTGCACTGTTGCAAAATCACAGCACTAAAGCAGCAGCAGTATAATGAAACTTAACAGTCAGCTGAAGTCAGCGCTTCTCACAGACTTTTTGAAAAATTCAAAAAGATAAGATTCGAAAAGATTTTGTAAGACTTTCAACGGCATTGCATAGGCTAACCAAGTTTAAAGTCCAAAAATGCTCTTAAAAACACAATAATCTGCAAAATAATCTGTGTATCATTCATTCATTGGTGTTTCAAAATAAAACCAAAAATAAGAAAATGAAAAAAAGCTATGGTCTTCATTATTTGTCTCCAAAACCAAAATGAAAAAAACGGATAATGGTTCATTTTTGTTTTCGATTTTGTGTATAAATGAATAATGAAAAAAAATGGATAATAGCCGTTTCCTGTTTCCGTGACTTGAACTGTGATGCCGAACATTTGTGCCGCATACAAACTGAACCAGGACTGAACCAGGACTGTGACCAGGATTGAGACCAGGACCAGACCGGGACTGAGACTGAGGCTGAGACCGGGATCTGGTTTAGTTCTGGTTCAGTTCTGGTTTAGACCTGGTTTAGTCTTAGTTCAGTCCTGTTTTAGTCTTGGGATCAGTCCTGGTTCAGTCCTAATCCTGGTTCCGGTCTGGTACCAGTTGCAGTCCCAGTCTCAGTCTCAGTCCTGATCAGTCTACATGGGCTCACCTCTGAGCCCGTCCCAACACTCCTGGTTCAGTCCATATGCGACGCAAAAGTCCAGCATCGCAGTTTAAGTCACATAAACATGAAACGCCCTTTTTTTCCATTATTCATTTAAACACAAAATCAAAAACTGAAAATGCAAATCATTATCCGTTTTTTCATTTTGGTTTTGGAAACAAATAATGAAGAAAATAGTTGTTTTTTCATTTTATTTTGAAAAATTAATGAACGAATGATACACGGATTCAAAATGTTCATAACTTTTAATAACTTCACTGTTTATTATAGATCTTGTGGTCATTAGTTACCACGTAGCTGATTAGCCCTGAGCAAGCTTTGAAACTTTATTATTATTTTTTTTTACAGAAAGTCTATGAGAAAAATAAATGGTAAATTTTCATCCAGAACAGAAAGGAGCGGGTGTTCATTGTTTAAAATATTCTTATTGAAATAGGGTCATCAAAACGAATAATATAAATACTAAAAATTATAATAAAAAGAGAAGAGAGACTGCCAAACTGCACCGTCTGCTGCTCCGACCACCACTCATGCACACACCACTTTTGCACTAGGCAATGTGGGTGAACTTTAGTCAGAACTGAAGAGTCTGAGCGGGAACCGGGGACCACTGCTCTAACCACTGAACCACTGTTGCCCTATATATGCATATTCTTTATTCTTTTCTTTTTTTTTTTTACAATTTAAGTTGAAAAGACTCACTCAAACTACTACTTGAACCACAAAAACAATCACTTCATTTCCTCTACACTTTCTCTGCAGGAGGAGACAGAGGCCACAGATAACAAAACTGCTGCAGAACAAATGAAGAAGTCTAAAGGAGCAGCGCCCCAGATCAGGCAGAAACCAAAGAAAGAGAGTAAAAAGAAGAGATAGACTGGCCCGTGTGTGTGCGTTTTGTATGTATATGTGTGTGTGAGAAAGAGAGGGTATATGTTTGCAGGCATGTGAGAGAGATAAATAAAGGTGTGAGCGAAAAGAAAGAGAGAGAGGTGTGTGTATAAGAGGTGCGTTTGTGCGTCATCATGACCGTGTTGGCCTGTTATTACTGTTACCACTACGATAACATCAAACACTCATTTCAAACTTAACCATTATTTACTGTTCTTCAGGACTTTATTTGTCAGTTTTGTGTGTACACATTTACTACAATGCTCTTTTTATTTGAAATAAACAAATAAAAAATGATTTATGATAAGTCATCCTAGCAATTTTATTCCTCAACATATATTTAGTAAGTGTGATAGTGGTTAAATATATAGGAATAAGGAATGTATTGGTATTATTACAGAGTGAGCTTCTTACAGGCCCCATATTATGCTGTTTAATGATCTGTGTTATAATGCACGGGTGTCAAACTCAAAGAGGCCAAAATTAAAAACTAGTCCTAAAGTCGTGGGCCAAACTAAATATTTATTGAAAAATTTCCACAACATCTGCATGTTTCCTCTTCTTTCGACATATGTATTGTTAAACCTTTTCTCATTAAAATAAATATTTAATAATAGTTTTGCTTAAACATTGAATCTAGAACAAGCATAATATAAAATAATAACAAAATTTGAAATAAATAATGTCTCTATAGCCTATCTGTATCCGGCGGGCTAGCTTTAATACATATTTGATATGATCTTGAGGGCCAAATATAATTATATCGAGGGCCAAATGTGGACCCTGGGCCTGAGTTTGACATGTCTGTTATAATGTTTATAATGTTTCTTCATCAAAAACATACCTGGAGTTGTGTTTTGTTTCATTCACACATGTTTAACACACAAACCTGCATATTTAGGGTGAGTTCTTTTTCCAACTTGTGATAATTTTTGCGCATTTTAATAATTTTTTTTCTATTATGATTTCACTATATTACACGTTCCATTGTACAAAAATGTAAATCTCTTACTTGCCTGAAATAAATATATACAATTTTTAAAAAAAGTAGTAATAGAATAGGAAGTGCTCCATTGCGTTTTAAACTCCATACACTTTCACTAGAATCATTTGGATCATTTCACCCCTGGAACTGGGCTGAACTAAAAGTGAAAGTGTAGATGTTCACAAGGTGGAACAGAGCATTTTGACATGTAAACAGACTAATAATAATAAAAAAGGTTACTCAAACGTGTGAATGAAACAAAACCCAAATTCAGGTATGCTTTTTCTGAGGTAAAATGGTTTAAATCTCAGAAGAATCAATTTTGTGTGATAATAAAAACTAGAACAGCTCACTCGGCCGTATTCTTTACAAATGCTGGTCTGAAACAGCACTCTTGCGTGTTTCGGCTCTTACATAAAACGTAAATCCTGTGGTTGTGTTGTCGTGCGCGCTGACACCTCTGCCGTGCCTTTTTACGCCATCAGCGCGAAAACGAATCCTGGCGCGTGCTGCTGCTGCGTAAACAGCGTAAACCCATCAACGCTGCGCTCGCGGGTGATGCAGTACGCCGTGGTGGTGCCATTCCCCCTCACGACGAGCCGTATCTCCTCTACTCCACACTCACCACTCCTCCTCCTCCTTCCACCGCCACCACATCGGCTGTTGTCCGCTGGCTTCCCCCGGTGGACAGGCTGCTCGTCCCCGGCACGGCTCGGCCCCTCTCCCCCCCTCTCCCGGGAATGACCGCCTCCAAATCGCGGTACCTTTTTGCCGAAATCCCCTAAATGGGCTTCGTGGCTGGGCCGAGGTTTCCACAGCAACTGGCCATCCACTTCTCTCACTTCTCTAATGAGGACAGCCGTGAGGATTTAACAACGCGGTTCCTCGCTGCTGCTTCTGCTCCTACCGCTGCCCGTCGTCTCTGATTTCTGGGCTCGAACTCAAGACCCGTCCAAAGGTGAGTCCATTCAATCATGCCGAAGGTCCAAAATAGAAACCTACTCTATTTCACGCTGGATTTCGCCTGTGCGTATTTCCAAGCTGCAAGCGTTACGCACAGTGTCCATTATAGTGACTTGTGTTTTCATTGTTGTGCGGCCAGTCAGTCTGTCAGTGGAGCTTGGAGATTTGGCCAACGTCTGTCAGGGTTTACGAGCAGAGAAAAGGGAAATCGTCCTGGTAATTCTCTCGTTTTTTTCCTCATTTACGTCAGCCAGCATCCGATAAAGACGCACGAAATGGGCTGCGCAAAAGGATCATAAAATAAACCCATACTCGACGTTCAAAATGGAGCTGTACAAGCACCTGTTTTGATCCGTCAGGGCTGCATATGAGAAACCACACGACATTGCACCGCGGCACCCCCGTGTTCCCATTCACAAATCCGTGTTTACGACAGAATTGCGGGACCGATTTGGCGAAGAAAGGCCTAGTTTTTGTCCATGCGTTCCCCCCGTAGTAAGATGTTTCATGACAGACAGCTGCTGTTTTCCCCCCAAGCAGCGAGCACCCCACCCTCCCCATTGACTCTTGGAAAGCCAAACACAAAAGGAGGCTCAAATAATAAAAAAAAATAATAGCATTTTAATTGTGTAAATCCATCCTATGTGAAGCTACGGTGTTGGTGAGGATGTGAACGCGTGCCAACCAATTTGCATAAAGCAGTTGGTTCATCTTCGCTGTGAATGAGACCAAAGACCGAGACCAATGTGTATTATGGGAAACCCCGTGATGGGAAATACCTGTGGATATAGCCTGGGAAAGTACACCTTATCAAACAAGGCTATATGTAGGAAGTGACGGGAAGAACACTTTGAAATGGTATTTGGTTACAGAAGAGTGAATACCTGAATTAAAATGAGGTATTCTCTGTACATGTTTGCAGTTACTTCCCAGTACTGCATGTGTAGGCCTTTATAGATGTAAATATGTCAACACAATGGCTTGGTTGAACATTAATTGCTTTTCTATTTCCCCATTTCCTCTTATTGTGCCAAAAAATTACTAGCCTGATTCATCAGCCGGTTTTACTTTGTAGAAACTGTCTGACCTTGCAGTGTTAGAATATGTTCGCTCGGGTACTTTTTTCATTTAAAGAGTCGCTGCTATTTGGTTGTGATGTATGTAATGCACCGCTAACGAGGTTAAGTGCTGGTAAATTAAGCTTTTCCCAAATCCCTGTAGGAAAGAGGGCATTAACGTCTTTCCCCTTGATAAAAATTCACCAAACACTCTCTTTATTCTCTTAAATCCTCCATCTCGGGAATCGCTGACAACACAGAATGTATGGCTCTTCGCTGATTGGCTGGTGCTCGAACTTGCACTTCCGGGGTTTTTGCGAACCGTCTAGTGTATTCCGATTCCTGACCTAGTCGCTGGAGAGAAATTAAATTGAGTGGAGGCACTAGGTGGCGCCGGCCTGGCTAATAAAATACACTGCTATTTACATTTTCCTCATTTTAAAAGTGCACAATGTAACTTCAGCAGGTTTTGTTTCTTGCTTGTCTCCATAGTGCTGTTATTTCTTTTTTCTTTGCATGGAATATTCCGCAGTAGGACATTAAACACATGAAGAGTAGCAAAGAGTAGCAATAGCAAAAATAGTTATCTCCATTTTGAATAATTGCCAAAAAGTATTACCACCTTCTAGAGATATTATCAGTGACAATGATGTATAGTGATTTTGATAAAGAAGGGGCGGAATAATGCTCTGATAGCAGTAAAATACATTTGACTTTTGAAACTATTACTACACTAAAAGTCAGCTACAAGCCTCCAATTACTTTTTGAAATGGCACTAATCTGTTTTTGCATCAACTTTTACATCCAGAAGACACTTAAACTTTTTGCAATTTGTGTTTAAATGTTATTACACAAAGTTCCCACCCTACTTAACAGGGTTTTTGATTTCGTTTAGATCAGCATTTAATTTACATCACACTGAACAGCTCTTTTTTAATGTTCCAACAATAAAAAAGAAATTGACCGCAGAGCATTTAACTTCAAAGCTCCAAACGAAGGAACAACTCGCCCTCCTCAATCCGATCAATCACATCGATCCACCATTTTATAGCGTCAGTCTTCAGATACTTACAAACATCCTGCTACATTTTTGTTCTGTGTACTTTCTGTTGTACATAGAGATGTTTTTTTCTTCATTAATTTACAAATATACGTGTGGCGATGATAAAACCAGAGAGATGTATGTCTTAGGATCCTGTATTGTATAGTATGAATGCTGTCTGTGTTGTTGTCTCTGTGTTGTGTTCATCTTTTGTTCTGTTTTGATTTGTTTTTTCTTCGTCTTTCTTCATACCAACCTTGCATTCACTCAACTCTAGGTGTTTCATAGCTACAAAAAGGCTTCAAAAACATGGATTCTTACCATGTGCGGGCTTGCTTCTCCACAGATCTGACCATTTACTTGTCTCCATTGTCATAATCAAGTTTATGTGAAATAATCAAGGCAAAGCGGTGACCTGACAGAGCTGCACTGATCGAAAAGTTGTCATTCATTAAAAGCAGTTTTTTGGGTACGTGTGCAGGCTTTGTCTCACTTTCTAAAGCCGTAACATCTCCAAGGAGACAAGCAGCACAAAAGTTACACAGTGCGCCTTTTGTTGGCTTGCGTTATAAAGACTCGGATATGTTTTTTAGTAGTTTGGTCAATATGTTGTCAATAAGAAGTGAATGGAGTTAATTAATAAAGATGTTTGTTCAGTTTTTGGATGGAGGTGAAGCATTGGCACTGAGCTTTTGTAGAACATCGATTCCTCACTGTGCAAAGAGATTGAAAGAGAGCATCTGTTCATTAGTTTGGAATGGGTTTGGTAAATATTGCAATAGCTTTTTTCCACGCATATGCTCATTAGACTCAGACTTAGACTAACTTTATTGATCCAAAGAAATTATTTGGACACAGTAGCTCACAATATAATGTAATAACAAAGAGCAAAAACATAAATGGTAATAATACATTCAAAATAAGGAGCAAAACTAACAAAAGATTGGTGTCAAATAAGGCATAATTATATAAATGTGTACAAGAAAAAATTAAATAAAGAAATATACCATACAATATATGTCAGCTATATACAAGAGGTCCAAAGCCAGTATTATTTTTTTGCAAGGAAAGAGCTGAGAATGGCTTCCAATTATTAAGAATATGGCACAAAATGCAAATCACTGCCTATAAGGAGGATTTTTTGCTATTATAGGTACTTTGAATTGTGGCTCGAGTGTCCCCCTGGCTTGAAAGTCCCAGCTCGAGCGTCCCATTCTCGAGCGGGAATGTCCCCCTCCTCCCTTCAGGTGCCTCCTTCTCTTGGGCGGCACATGGATAACTGCTGTGCCCGGGAGAGGGGGGGGGGAGTTCTCACTGGCATTTAGTTGGCCGCGACTAAATAATAAAATGAAATGTGAATGTAGCGAGACCAAATGTCAGGCCTTGTTTATGTCATTTTACTGATCTTCCCAAAGCAGCACACATTTTTTCAGTCTGTAATATCAATATAATCCTCATTTGCTCGCAGACATTTACTATGAAATCGTATTTTAAATATTTTTTTTCTTGTTTCCCGTGTCCTATAGCAGAGATGGGGACTTGCAAGTCGTGATTTGGACTTGAGTCAGACTTGAGTCACTATTTTTAAGACTTAAGACTTGACTTGATAAAATGGACTAAGACTTGGGACTCAACTTGGACTTGAAGGTCAGTCACTTGGGACTTGACTCGGGTTGAGGCCTGTGACTTGAGAAACACTTTTAAATCTGAATTCTTTCTGTTCTAACTGTAATCATTCCCACTAAGATCTTGTCACGGCATTTAAAAAGAAAAAAATTTACATTTCTACAACTCTTACATACTCTAAATCAAATACTCATATATACATACACTATGATTTTTTTTTTTAGTACAATTTAGTTTAAAAAAATCATAATCATCATCAAAATCATATAAATTGCAAAAATCTAAGCTATATTTGGTGCTTTAGGTTAAAGATTTGAAATGACTTGAAGCTCAAAGCAGGCAACTTGGACTTGACTTGGACTTATGGGCCAGTGACTCGAGACTCAACTTGTACTTGCCTGTATTGGACTTGGGACTTGACTCGGACTTGAGCTCAAAGACTTGAGACTTGCAAAAGAATGACTTGGTCCCACCTCTGTCCTATATATAGCATCTGTAACTGTTGATATGGGAAGAAATATTAATTATTTTCTTACTATGAACGTAATCAACTCATGTCCGGTGTCGTGTCATGCAACAGGGGATAAAAGCACCGTGCTCATCCTTCCCAAATCAGAAAACTTGAACAAATTTGTTGAGAGATACTGTAACTTGTGTGTGTAATTAATACAATATATATAATGCAAAAAAATGTTGTTTTTTTATTTATACGTATATAGTTTAAATAACTTAGTTTCATCGAGGGTACAATTCAGGCAGGCTTTCCAGATTTTCAAGGCAGGGGGACTTTCCAACTGATTTCCGGTATCTATATTTCAGTATTTAAAGATCCACTATGTAACTTTTCTGGTGTTATTATTATTATTGCTTTGCTCCAATTTTTTTTTTACACAGTAACACTGGCATCAAGCTTATCTCTTTCTATGGAGTCAAGCAGTTTACGAGTCAGCTCTATGGACAGGGAAGCACACTCGCAGTAAGAATGCAATGCTTTTCGAAGTTTCTCTTAGCAACAAAAACACCTGCAATTGAATAAATGCAAGATAAACATGTTTAATGTCGTACTGCGAGACATTGTAGTCAAAATAATTACATCTCCATGGAAACAAGTAGGTGGTAGGCTCTTCACCGGAAAAATTACACAATGCATCTTGAAGTTACTTATGTGGTGAGTGAAGATAATGAGAAAAATGGAAATATAAACATGATTTCTGCACAATATAGGCCACACAATTATTCAAATACATGGATTAAAATTGCATTCTCAA